TTCGTTCGTTCGTTCAGATCGAGCGAGTTCAAAGAGCGAGATTCCACAGGCCAGAGTGTGGGGATATTTCGATCGATCGCAAGTCCCGAGTCAGAAGTGCTTTTCATCTTCTCTCAGTCCTTTGAGATAACCGAAATCGGCTCCTCGGCGCCACTCGTTGAAGAGAAGAGATGACGCGAGAAATTTTATCAAAAACTACAATTTTTTTTTTTTTTTTTTTTTTTTTTTTTTTTTTTTTTTTTTTTTTTCATTAGGTGGATACACGTTACGAAAGTCGAAGTCAAAAGAGTGCAGAAGAAGACATTGCATTACGCTCGGCCGAAGAATACGTTACCGATAATGATCGTTATTATGCATGAGAATTTCTCACTCACTCCGCCATAGCGCCGCTTCGCAATAACCGCCCAATAACGCAACAACAATGTGGATGCATAACGAGCTGGCGTTGCATGTGCAAGGGAAACCATAAACATTGTTCGCCTGTGACGAAACAGCTGAACGAATTCACTCTTGAGAAGACTAATCGGAAAAACGTTCGTTGACAGCGAGTATTAAAAGAGAATATTAAATAAAATCGGGCGAATGTCTCGACCTGCAGTCCCCTTCTATGCCAATCTTAACACTAAACGTACCGGCATTTTACATGTATCTATCTTACCATAAGGGGTCATTTGATCTCTTATAAATAAACGTTGATTTTTAGGAAAAAATTCTTAATTTATTAAAGGAAATAATTTGCAACATAACTTCTGATTTCTAACAAAATACTCAAACATATATATTTTTATTTAAAGTAAATTTCGAGAAGGGGTCATTTGACCCCGCTTGGTACGTTTAGTGTTAATTAATACGACTGCTTGCGTTGGTCACTGATCGACCGCGTAAACATTTCAGAATAATTCAAATGAGACGAACATCATTAATTTTAAATTAATTTCAAATTAACACAAACAACCGGACAAATTTTCGTCGCACTTTATCGTAATATATATATAATAACATCCTATGGGAATTAAATATTCCGTCTCACAGACGAAACGTGTTAAAATTTAATCCAAACAAATAACATAGTAACACCGTAACACCGTAAGTCTTCCTACACGTTGTTTCCTTTCCTTTTTTTTCTTTTCGAGCTTTAAGACGATGGTATTGTGTACGTGTACACATACGTACGGAGAGTAACGTATCAACAATGTTAATATCCGCCCAGGTATTCGCGAGGGACGTCACGTTGCAAGGAAGAGAGAAGGTAGTAACGCGAGCGACTGTATCGTTTCAGCCGGTTAGTTAGAAAATCTACAAGTGGCCGAGAAACCTACAGGCACCATCATACTACGTATGTGTGTATAATAGTCGTCTTTGACTTTGGAAAAATTGTCTCTTGCATCGAAATGTTACGTAAAAACGGATTTTTACTTTCAACGACAGAGTCGTAGTTCACCACGTAAGATTACGCTGTTACGATGAAGAGAAAAAAGGAAAGGAACAACGTGTGATTACACAAGAAACAATGTTGAAATCCCACCAATGTCAATCGATAGACATTTTCGTGACCAACAAGTGGCGGCAGATCGATCATCACGTGGAACCGGTGGAATTACGATATATATAGTACACGCGTTGCTGTATTTACAACAACAACGACGAACCCATACCTTGAAAATGAAACTCGAAATATTGCGGGGATCGTTTTCAGCGCCTTCCAGTTCGTCGAGTGTTCGCCTTGATTCCAAAAGTAAAGCCAGGTTTTGGTCGCACACAAAAGTTGGTGAGTACACTTTTTTTTTTCTCTTTTTGGTAGAATGGTCGGAAGGATAAAAACACAGAGAATTCAATGCCTCACAAATTCGACACAAAGAAGAAGAAAGCACTCAAGGCGGGTATTGTCCGTTTTGCGACGCGCAAAACCGTGGCAGTTTCCTTTCACGGTAAAAGAAAACAACGCGTTTGCAAAACAATCTCGAAAACAAACAAAACTAACGCACGCTCGACGGTTAGCGAGCGAATGAGGCTCCGTTTTCCATCAGTCCCACCAACCACCGGCCAGGCCAATAACCTGGCAGCATATGCGTGAACGTTCTCACCACTTTCCCAGCGTCCGGTCGATAAGTACGGCAGTGTACTTTATCGACTGACAATACAGAAACGAGATATGAAAAATTGTCTACACTGCTTTTATATTAATAGATATTATTGTTCAGCTTGCGTTTCGAAAGACAGGCAATTGTCAATTGTTATAGTAAGTACACACGGTGAACACTTCTTTCACTCAAAGATCTCTTATATCGCATTTCTCTTTTCGATCACAATGTTCAATTTGTTTAATTTAGTTAAACCGTATCGTAAAATAGTCGTTGTACTTGATGATTTATAGAAAAACTTACTTTCATTTAATCATAAAAGTTAATTAGCTTCTCTTTTTAGCAATAATAGAAATATACGTTTCCTTCCCGATGAGATACGAATCGCGCAGTCATGCAAGTATAAATAACATATATTAACGCATAGCAATTTAAGAACTTTATCTTCAAATTTGGTGGGAAATCATTCTACTAATTTCTTCCTTTGTTCACTACAGTTGAATTCTCAGTAAACTTCTCTTTTTAATCATACTGACAACTTTTCGATAATACAAGAATATCATTGGTACAAAAATTACAATAAATGAGAGTTATTATAAAAGTAAAACATATATGTATTTTTTATACATAAAATATACTTTCACGTATTTTTAATGCATATATGTATACGTATACATATGTAATTGTAACATATAGTTTGTGCTTTAATAGATGTTAAAAAATATGTCTTTTTTGCATTGTAATTTTATGGCCAGAATTTTTTTTATACCACGCGTTATAAATTTTCATCAGCAGGTACAGTGAGTACACTGTTAATATAATTATACTAAAAATTATACTTAAAAAGAAAGCATCTAAAAACGTCAAAAAGACCGTAAATTTTCAAAATACCATTTCCTAGTAAATAGTTGTGGAACAACTTTTATATATTCACGTCATATCTGTAACCATAAATATGATACTTCACTTTCCATGCAATGACAAACAACTCGTTATCTTAGTAAAAAAAAAAAAAAAAAAACAATAAATTCAGGCACTTTGAAAATATATTACATACTACCTGTTTAGTATTTTAAATTAGGATATCTAAAATTTCCAGCAATATCATCATAATTCGTTGCATTCTATGATTAAAACGCCTTCTTCTTGTTACAGGCATACGTAAAATCTATGTAAAAACAGTTCGCACCTAAATGTAATAATACTTATTTTCCTAATTAAAAATGTTTTAACAAATTCTGATATAACGATTTCCGCAAAACTGCTCTTCATCTTATTGTTCTCCTTAACTTTAATATTACATTTTTGGTTCATTGAATATTGCTTTCTTCGATTTCCAACTATGATACATCATCGAGAACGAAGATTTCGAATAATCTTCGATTCAATAACAAACGTAAAAATTTAAAAAGCACTTGAAAAATCGCCAAAGACTGCGCAGGAATCTTTGTAATATCGTGAAGTGCTACTAAATAATAACAATATTATACGCTAGCTAAAAAAACGTTGCGGGCTTTTTCCTCTTCTGTTGCGCGTTATGCTGAAATATTTGAAATACAAAATTCAAAGCTATGTCAGTTCGTCTGTACATTGTTTCCTTTCTTCTTCGACTCGTTGACGAGTACGATTGAAGGCCTCGGTTTTCAAGAAATCCACAGTTTTATACACCGTTGTGTTTGGAGGAGATTGAGTTGGTGGTAAACTCGAAGAAGTGAAATTTTCCGTTACTTCTAGATCGAGATCTAAATACTGCAGAACGACGAGACGACGATTTGAGGCAGGAATGAACGTATTTTGCTCTTGGTAGTAGTATATCTGCAACAAAAATTTGTACCAAAATACAATTATGTTTATGAAACGACATTGAAAAAATACAACGTATGAAATATTTTTATATACCTCTTCTTTGTCATCGAAGGTATTGTTATCTTCATCCGATGTCGATTGATGTCGATTCGAATGAGCGTGAGTTGGAGGTGTGGGACTTGGAGCCGCTCTAATTCTTCCTCTTCCAGGCGGAGAAGCTAGTTGCAAAGGTCCTAGAACATACGAATAATTTTGTATTACAGATTAGTGGAGAAGGAAGATCATCTAAATATCCATACCTTCGACGGGAGATTTATTCAACGGAGGTTTAAGTTTCCTATTAATACTCGGTGGCTCGGCAGGAGAATGTTCGGCAGAACTCATTTCCAAACCTGACACCGTCGGTCCTGGAGAAGCTTCATTACTAATTACTGAAATAGAATCGCTGGTTTTTCTTCCTGGTTTCAATTCTCGATAAACAACCGGCGGCGGCGGTGCCACTGTTGTTGGTAGTGAAGTTGAATTGTCCCGAACAAGGGGACTTGGCAAATTCGAATACATAGCAGTTGCAGAACTTTCAGAGCGTGGACTCGACGGTTCCTCTTCTTGAAAGTCATAGCGGAATACGCGCGTCTCCTCGACGTTGCTTGGAGCAGCATTGGAATAAAAATGTTTGTCTATTGTGCTTGGTTCTGGTGCTCCGGGTTGATGAGATCTTGGAAAATCGTATGATTCGTCTGTTACAATAGCTGTTGCAGGGGTCGATGGCGCGGGAGTCGCTGGAGTTGTAGGTTTTGAGCTTTCGGTAGCACCATCTAAATTTAAATAATTATGACCAGGATTTTCAGGTAACATGTGAGGAGGTTTCGGCGGTCTTGGAGGTGCTGGCAACTTCTCTACAGAAGGTGGTACAGTGGAGTCAACGATTCTCAACTTTCCAAACCGCTTCCGTACACTCCAAGAACCAATTTCGGCGTCACTCGAACTGTGCGGTTGTTTAGATTCACCTATTATAAAAAATTAATATTTATTTGGTATTTAATTTGATTAAAAGTATATTATCAGCATTAATCATATTTACCTGAGGAAGGAAAAGTTTCCCAATTCACGCTAGGCACTGGAGCAGTCCATTCATCGTCGGTGAAGACACTTTCTGCGTCAGTTGTTGTAGGAGATCTGGGTGGAGAAGGGGCCAATCGTCTTGGGGCATCGTAATGTTCAGGTCCTTGTCCCAAAGTCGAATTGAGAGAACTAGTATCATTTAACCGTCGACCAGAAATACATTCGCTAATAGGAATGTATGGACCAGAAATAGTGCTGGTGGGAGAAATTGGTGGGGATTCTTGTGATTCAAACTGGAACACTATAAAAAAATATATATAACATTGTCTGAAACCCATATTACGTTTCAGATGTTTTGTAAATGACAGTGATATATACTTTGACATTGCTGTTCCTCATCCTGAGTGTATGCCTTTAAGCCACAAACTTGACATACAGCGTCTACCCACTTATTCATATCAGCTTCACTTTCTGCCACTAAATAGTACGTCCTTTTCGGTGTTTTAACATCAAACATATACTGATACTTTTGTTTTCGATTTTCGAACCTTAGGCCTGCATCAACCTGTTTACAAACATACATTAAGTATACAATGAGCAACTTTATTCGCCAAAATCAACTAAATTTTAAAATAAAGAGTTACCTGCTCGCATTGATCAAGATCGATACGACCCTTTAATTTTCTACAACGTCTATCTGTATAATACTCTAAAAAATATTGTCCAGGTAATTCTCCACTGTGCCGAAGAGCAAACCACCTCTTCCTCCATCTCTGAAAATAAATAAACGGGTATATCATACAAATCACATAAATATATTTTCATTTAAATTTAATCATCACGTATATCACGTAACATTGTCTGTGCCGCGTTACAAATAAAAAACTAATTAGCATTCTTGGATAAAAATACCACAACATTCCACACTTATGAAACATTTTTCAACGTTCAATGAGGTTAGAATCCGTGAGGACTTGTCAAACGAATACAAGCGTAGCAATTTCACAGGTATTTACCGAATGTAAACAGTAAAGAAAATCGACGAAACCGTGAAAATTTTTAAAATTTTCTATTGTTCTGTGAAATACTAACCGCTCGCCAAAGTTTGGTAGGTGGCGATTTAATGAGCCACCCTTCGTGCACAATCTCCTGGCTGGTTTTGAGTACCTCCATTCCTATCCGACGTCGACTATGAACCTTTTTAATAATCGTACATTGTTTCAGAGTACATGGAACCACCGATAACAAGGATGGCACGCTTGTCGTTCATTTATCTATTTTCGGACGGCGTAGCAGCGATCTCACAAATACACCGACCATCTAGCGATCTTTCTTCGACGATGCACAACTAACACATCAACGATATTCCACCACAAACGCGCATCACCAACGAGAAACACCCTCTGAAGAGCTGCAGAAGAATTAAAGAGGGAACACACCGTAGAGAGACGACGGACGACACGCAGAGAAGTTCAACTATCGTTGTGGTGCCTCCATTGCCACCACCATCTTGGCCACGCATGCCAAGCGTGTCAACCATCATAGGTGACACACGCTTTTCTCGGCCTATATCTGCCTGCATGTATATCTACCAATGGCCAAATCAGACGCCTCGTTCTGTATCGTATTCTGAATCACTCTGTGAGAATCAAGTTGTTGCCCGTGTTATGAAAATTTGTTTGGATTCATTTGATTAACAGAGAGCTACATGACGCATCGCCGTCTCGTGACCTGAATGAATGGCGCAGTGGTGCGCTCGAGTTAAAGAGCTTCTGACGCTAATTCAACAGAACGGACAAAGAAATCATCAATTACCGAGTCAAGTTATCAAAAGATCGGTGATCTCATCTCTCGACATAAATATTCTTAGTCGTAAATGATCGAAATTCTGTATATATGTACGTAAATAATTAAATGAATCTACGGAATAGCAACGATCTAAACTATAC